GAAGAGGGATTATTTGGGACTTGTAACGAGACTTGGTGTTGACGACTTTCCCATCTCCCCCTTCCTCTTCTTTGCCTGATCCCCTCCTCTTCGTCTGTGTATTTCTGGACCTGGCGCTTCTTTCCTGTGTATAGCGCCAGGCCCCTTGACACCTTGTGATGAGCATGATGTATGTTTGGTCTGCGTTGAAACATTGATTGGGCTAGTCATTAGTATTCTCGCATCCTGTTTCGCTATCTTGTACTACGTGAAAGAGGTCAGTCCCGGTCAGGTCAGGACTTGTATCTAAAGTCTTCCCTGCGCTATAAAGCACCATTTTGTATGAATCCGAATGCACATTGATTGTTGAGATTCTACTTGCACTGCATTGTCCATTCAGTCCTTTTTATCACATTGCGGATCCTCGGTTTGTATGTACATCGCCCAACTGGGCATGTAACAGTTGGTATCGGACCACCGCACGTGAATCAGGACAACCTGATCTGACACGTGTGCGGGGACTAGGTAGCTGTTTAGTCTGGATTGATTGATTAGAGCACACTAGTTAGCCCCCAAAATCACGATTTTGACCTCACTACCGAAAATCAAAATTTTTTTCTTTTCTTGGATTTCGTTTTCTCGCTATTTCTGTTGTGGAAAATCGCAATAGCGCAACATCTGAAATTTCCGTTTTCGTTTTTCTTCTGAAAATCCGAAATTTCGTTGTTGGAAATCCGGAATATCTTTTTCTCGAAAATTTCGATCTCCTTTGCAATTTCCCGTTATTTGGAAATTCGGAATATTTTTTTCCGAAAGTCGTTTTTCAGAAAACGGTACGGGAAATCCCTCTTGCAGTACCATTTTTTAAACTGCGAATACCCTCATCTTACTAAATCCGAATACTTGTTATTTCTTTTCGAATTTTTTTTCTTCTTTTCGGAGTTCTATGATTTTCGCTACCTGATAATCATTGGCAGTCTGAAGTTCGAAAATTTGTTCTCATTGATACCTTTGCACTTTAAGGGAGGTTGGGAGACCTACTGAACTTGCAAAACTTGGGATTTTTATTTTTCTCGAATTTTTTTTTGCAAAGTTCAAACTTTTCTTTTTGATTAGTGGCTCCTTATCTGGGCGATTATCCCACCCACCCCTCCCCACCTATGTTGTTGCCACCTCTGGTCTTACCTTCTCTCTCTGTCTCTAGGTACCCCTTGCGGCGGCATTGGTGAGTTGCCACATCAGCAGGCCACATCAGCGGACCACGTCAGCGAACCACGTCAGTGGACACACGTCAGCGGACCACGTCAGCGGACCACGTCAACCGACAGCAGTGCCACGCCAGCCGACAGCAGTACCACGTCAGCAGGCCCCCGGCCTGGTCTATGCTTTTGCGTTCACAAACAGTCGTCATGGACCAGAAGTCCGGGGAAACAGACGAGGCCTATCAGGCCCGGATGCTGGCCTGGAGTACCGAAACCAAGAGACGGGCGGATGACGTAGCAACCGCAGCGAAGAAGAAGGCAGAGGACGCCGATAAGGCACGTCTGCTGGCAATTGAACAACAGCGCCAACACGACGAGGCAGCAGCAAAGGCTGCCGATGAAGAACGAGTTCAACGTCGTGAGAAGATATTTAGCGGAGAGCAAGTTTTGCTCACAATGGAAGTGGATTGGCGGGCCGAGGCCGAGAATGGCAAGATGGAAGATAGCGAAAACAAGATCGCTCTACTCCTCTCCCATCTCATGGACCTCCTGGCAACATGCATTACACAGCATCGACGACACGCTGACTCAAGTCCACAGCCGCCTCCGGCAACTGGAGCAGCGACCTATCGCCGCCCCCGATGCCAGCTCTTCCAACACCTCCGATCGCCTCGAAGCATTGGAGATTGACGTCGACTCCCTCAAGGATGGCGTGCAGTTACAGCAAACCGCAACGCAACAGTTGGAGCAGCGGATCTGTACTGCCGCCAACCGCTCGAGATCGGAACTGCGCGAGACAGCTCCAAAGTTTGACGGGCAGGAGATCTTCTGCGACTCGACGAAAACAGATCCGATTCCATGGTTCCGCAAGTTCGAGCTCACGCTGCAGCTACACTACGTCAAAGAACACAAGCACCATGCGTACTTATACTCCCGGTCAGGGGGCGCGTGCCAAGCATGGTTGGACAATCTCTTGTCCAAGTACGGAGTGGTAACTGCCGACTTGCATACCAAGATCAGCTGGGATGATCTGAAGGCAGCGTGGCATAAACGGTTCCAAGTAGAGCCGCCAAAGATCAAGGCAACAGACAAGCTAATGGTTTTCGAACAAGGCACGCTGCCGAGTGTCGACTGGATTGCCGAGTACCAACGCTTGGCATCCGTCCCAGACATCCAAATGGGCTTCAAAGCCATCCGCCACTATTTTATCTCAAGGTCGTGTCCGACATTGAGCAATGCCTTGACTCACATCGAGGACACCCTGACGACAATGGCGGAACTCTTTGACAAGGCCGCGCAGATTATTATCACGAACAAGGAGGCTAAGAACCTGCGTTCGTCTGCGGCAGGCCCACGCAGAGATCAACATCGGCCGAAAGTGGTCGTGGTCGCGGCGGCAACGCCGTTTGACCAAATAGCGAGGCCGTGTCTGCTAATGAAGGAAACAGACTCGCAGCCGCCCGGGAAGGTGGCCGCCCCGGCAAAGGTCGAGGATGTGGCAAGGCGAAGACAAACACCACATCTAGCCCCAGGCCCGGCGCAGCAGCTCCAGCCCCATGGTCCCAATACGGTCTCTCCGAGCAAGCATTCAAAGCACGCACAAGATTTTGCTATTGCCTATGGTGCAACAACGATCTCCATGAGGTAGTGGCCTGCCAGTCAAAAGGCAAGGGCAAATCGGGAAACTGAGCACCGCCAGGAGTGACTCGACGACACTCTCGACGCCTTCAGAACCGGTCGCTTCGCGGGTGACCGCCCTTCGTTCCGAGGCACATGTGGAAGTCGATAGTCCTCCTCTTCTTTATTCTTTTGAGGACTATGCTGCCCGGCTCGTTCCTACGTTGGGTACTCAAGCTCAAGGACAAGACGTGTGTGCGGCATCTTCTCCGTCCGGCAGCGGCGACTTATCGTCTTCAAGTGGTTCTTCACAGAATTCGACGCGCGAGTTCAACATAGAGGTATTGGACCCGCTCACGTTTGGGGATTTCGCATGGCTTCCTCTCCCGATTACAGGCCGCTTGCCGGGACCGCAATACGCAGCACTATGTGCTCATCTTCACACGTACTTATCCTTCTATGCACCAACAACTTCGGCGACGGATGACGAAGTTGTGGTGGGGGACATCCTTGCGTATGTTACCAAGGTGGCCCGCGAGTTTTGCAATCAGCGGTACGACGACAACAACGCACCGCTCCTCTATGTCCGCATCCAAGTTGGGCAAGCGTCCTGCAACGCTTTGCTGGATAGCGGCTCGTCTCGCAATTTTATGAGCCAAGCCATTATGCAAAGGGATGGCCTTGGTGCACAAGTTCGAAGGAAGGCAAACCCGACGGCGATCAAGTTGGCTGACGGAAGGACGCAACAACTTATCGACCGCTACATCGAGGTCGTACCGGTGTATTTCACACCTCATGCATGTGAACCGGTGACATTCGACATTTTGCACACGGACTTCGACATTATTTTGGGAATGCCTTGGCCTGCAAGTGCGGATCACACGGTCAACTTCCACCGTCAGACTCTTACCATTCGCGACGCCTTCGACACCAAAGTGGCGTGTACTATTCCTCTTCCGCACCCTTCGATTTGGTGTCAAGTGGTGACGGCCAAGTCATTCCGGGCTACTTGTGCTTACGAGCAGCCCGACGAAATCGGCCTCTGTTTCCTACGGACTGTCGCGGTACCTGACTCTTCACCCACGGACTTGTCTTCGGACCCCAGTATGGTACGGTTGCTTGATGAGTTCACCGACATCTTTGAATCACCTACCGGTGTAGTGTCGGATCGGCCGATCTCTCATGAGATCATTCTTGAGGCCGGTGTCGTGCTGTCGAAAGGTTGCATTTATCGCATGAGTGAGGAGGAGCTTACGGTCCTCTGCGCACAACTCAATGATTTGTTGGACAAGGGCTGGATCCGCCCTAGTAGCTCTCCATATGGAGCGCCAGTTCTCTTCATACGGAAGAAGAACAAAGATCTACGATTGTGCATCGACTACTGCAAGCTCAACGCGCAAACCGTCAAGATGTGGGGCCTCTTCCTTGCATCGACGATCTTCTTGAGCGATTGGGCGGCGCAAAGTATTTTTCCAAGCTAGATTTGAAGTCTGGATATCATCAAATCTCGATCCGACCGAACGATCGTTACAAATCCGCGTTCAAGACGCGGTATGGGCATTTTGAGTGGGTGGTCATGCCTTTTAGCCTCACCAACGCCCCGACGACCTTTCAAGCGGCAATGACCAACGAGTTCCGTGCAATGTTGGACCGGTTCGTGCTGGTCTACTTAGTTGATATTCTCGTCTATAGCCGGTCATTGGAGGATCATATTGAGCACCTTCGACGAGTGTTGGAGACGCTCCGCCGTGCCAAGTATAAGGCCAACCGCGACAAGTGCGAATTTGTCCGGCAAGAGCTGGAATACTTGGGTCATTTTGTCACACCGGAGGGCATCAGTCCGCTATCGGACAAGATTCAAGCCATCCAAGAGTGGACGGAGCCACGGAACATCACGGATGTCCGTTCGTTCCTTGGTCTCGCCGGCTACTACCAGCGTTTTATCAAGGGCTACTCGAAGATCTCGACCCACTTGACCACGCTTCAATGCGAGGATCGGCTGACTTCAGAGAGGAAGCGCGGGAATCATTTTTGGCTCTCAAAGCCGCGCTATTATCTGCGGAGGTCTTCTGCATATACGGCCCGCTTTTGCCTACGCGCGTCACTACGGACGCGTTTGGCTATGGCATTGGTGCCGTCCTCGAGCAACACGATGGCGTGGACTGCCACCCGGTCGAGTATTTCAACAAGAAAGTGCCCGTCGTGCACTCCATTGACGATGCGCGCAAGAAGGAGCTTCTCACCTTCGTCCACGCGCTCAAGCGGTGGCGGCACTTCCTCCTTGGTCGAAGCCAATTCCGATGGGTAACGGACAACAATCGGTTGGTCTTTTACAAGATCCAAGACACCGTCAACAGCACCATCGCTCGATGGATGACTTTCATCGACCAATTTGACTTCTTTCCTGATCACATTCCGGGGAAGTCGAATCGTTTTGCGGACGCTCTCTCACGACATCCAGATCATTGTACCGCGGTCTACTCAACCTTTCGAGATCGACAACGACCTGCGGGACAGCTTCATCCCCGGCTACCAAGCCGACCCCGAGTTTCGCGACAAGTATGCGAATTGCTCCTCTCCCAATCCGGCGCCTTCTCACTACCGGATTCAAGACGGGTACTTGCTTGTCCACACACGGGGAAAGGACCTTCTTTGGGTACCGAGTGACCCTCACTTGCGTACACGGCTTCTTGGTGAGTTCCACGATGCTCCCGCCACCGGACACTTTGGAGTCAATCGCACGATTGGCCGAATTCACGAGCGATTTTGGTGGCCCGGCCTTCTCGGCGACGTCACACAGTATTGCGAGGCATGCGAGGTTTGCCGACGCCGCAAGTCCCGCAACCATCGTCCATACGGCGAGTTGCGACCATTACCGGTCCCCTTGCGGCGAAGGGAAGTGATTGCCATGGACATTACCGGCCCGTTCCCCAAGCACAAGACCGGCGTGGATGGGATTCTCATGGTGGTCGACCGACTCACCAAGTTCGCTATGTGGATTCAAACCAAGCATTACCCCAAGGAAATCGTCTGCGTCCGCGACACTCGGTTCATGTCCAGTTTTTGGTTGGCGCTCATCAAACGATGGGCCTCATCTCTCAAGCCAAGTTCGGCTCGCCACCCCCAAACTGATGGCCAAACGGAGAGGGCGCATCAGACCGCACAAGTGCTCCCTCACACTCTCATCCGCCCCAACCAGAAGGATTGGGTTGAGCGGCTGCCGGATGTCGAGTTGGCCTACAACTCGTCCATCCACTCGGCTATCGGGATGTCGCCCTTCGAGTTCGAGCACGGCTCGCCAGTCACTTCGCCGTTGGACAATATCATTCCACGAACAACCGAGAGCGACGACCATCTTCTTTTCTTGCGTCGGATGCAAGAGCTACTTGTCAAGGCACTCGACCAGATGGCCAAGACGCAGCAAAGCATGAGCCAACAGGCCAATCGCCAGCGTCTTCCTTGCCCATTCCGCGCTGGCGATCTCGTTTGGGTTTCCACCGTGGAATTCAGCCTTGAACAAGATATCTCTCGCAAGCTCCTCCCGAAATGGATGGGGCCCTGGCCGATCGTGGCACCCGCTAAGGATGCACCCGAGGGACCTTCCTTCACTATTCAGGTGTCCACCCACTTGCCCGTCTACCCAGTCTCTCATTGCTCCAAGTTGGCTCTTTACACGCCAGCGGAACATGACGATTTTCCCGGGGGACGTTCGCAAGGCCCACCCTCTATGGACGGTTTTATGGAGGTCGACGACATCATCTCCCAGCGACGCTACGGCAACAGGCCAACCGAGTACTTGGTCCATTTCGCATACTGCACACACTGAGCTGACCGTTGGTTGACCCAGCGAAACTTCAAGCAACAACTCCAGACGTTCTCGCACGCTACAAACGCAAGATGCAAGGCAAGCCGGTCTCTTCGGCTCCACACCGCACCCGCGTCCAGGTTCCACCTTCAGATCGTCAGCTTCACCCTCGCCCCGGCTTGACTTCATAAGGAGGGGGGGGTGTTACATGCTGCGCCTGCTACACGAGGGCCATTTTCCAGGCCCTGTGTCCATCAGGCTGAAAGCCTGAAAACAAGGGCCTACAGGCCCCGTGTCTGTTCAGCTCGAAAGCCTGAAAAACAGGGGCCTACAGACCCTGTGTTGTTTCAGACTAAAAATGGCAGTAGCCTTTTTAGCCTGAAACGAAGGGCCATTTTTGGTGTTTCATCAGACCGGCCTGCCCTGAAACTCAGGCACCAAACCAGGGTTTTAGGAACAGGCTATTTTTGGCCTGTTCCCACGACAGCTGCAGCGCCAGGCCCTGGCTCAGTTTGGCATTGGCAAGAGCAGCCTCCTGGACTGCCCGCCCTGCAACTGCAGGCAATCGGAGGCAGTCAGGAGGCAGGCCGAGGTAGTACATAGGGACTTCCCATGCACTTCACGGACAGGCAGGAGGCAGTCAGTAGTCTTCAGGATTCGGCAGCAGCACTCTGGAGGAGCGCTGCAGGAGTAGTTGTAGCATTAGCAGTAGTCTTCAACGCTGGGCACTAGTAGCGTTAGTTGTAGTCTTCAGCGCTGGGCGCCATAGCTAGAGTAGTACTAGAGAGAGAGAGAGAGAGATTGGGTGGAGGCCAGGGATACTTACCTGCAGCGTCGTTGCTCCAGTTTCATCTTCGAGGTACCTGCAGCACAGCCCCATCTTCACAGGTTAGTACCTGACACATGAGAGACAAAGTTCTTCTTCTTCCTCTTCTCAGTCCACCATCTCCTTCTCACCCTCTCAGTATCTGACTTCACTGCATCAGCAGACTACGAGAGAGAGAGAGAGAGAGAGAGAGAGAGAGAGAGAGAGAGAGAGAGAGAGAGAGAG